ATATATATATATATATACACAAGTGGGCTGACAAAATATGGTATTTATTTATTGGTTTGTTTGTACTTAAGCACAAAGCTACACAATGGGCTATCTGTGCTCTGCCCACCACAGGTATCGAAACCCGAATTATAGCGTTGTAAGTCCGCAGACATACCGCTGTGCCACTAGGGGCTTATTTATTGGATTATTCGGATTTGTTTTTTTTCCTTTTTGATAGTAATTACTTCCCTGTATGGGAATTCCAAATTTCTGCTTCACTGATAAACTACAGAAACCGTTCTATTTATGCCCGACATTTCGCTATGACGACCGACATAATACTATCTATAAGTTTTAGATATCTCATTAGTATTTCTATTATAAGTCCTACGCTTAAGGTTGCTCTACAAATTAGAGGATTGTAAACTAAGTATAACTGGTTATGTATGAAGTTTTAACTGTCTATTTTGAGCAAAATACTTTAGCATGTAGGAGAACATCAAAAGCAATGAAGCGTTTGATACTGTTTTCTTATTTCAAAGCTGCACAATAATCTATCTATATTCTATTAACCGCGGGAATCGAACACCGTTATTTAGCGTTGGAAATTTGTCAACTTACCTCTGACCCACCGAGTGACAGTAAAAAAGCAAGATAGATAGTTGAAATTAAAACGGTAGCAGATACGAAAGATGTTATCGTACACAACATTAAAAATTAATCGGATTTGTTTAAAAATAAAGTTTTAACTTTATTATATTCCTAAACTAATAGAGAATTACAATTTTCTCAGTAACAGCACATTACATTAATTCTCTCGGAAAGATACTGTAAAGCGCAACGCTGATGACTTGTTACTGTTTGTCAAAAATAATCGATAATTTTAACATTTTCACCATTGATAAGTAAATACTTTGACATAGCCAAATATACAGCACTTTTGATCTGTTTTACCTTATCTTAACATTTATACAATACTAAATTCATACGTTTTATGCAATTTTTTCAAGTTAGAAAGCTCTTTAAATATTTGAAAACAATTTTTTACGAAAATAAGAAAATATAGGGCACACGACTACATCGTGGTTTTGTCTGCCATGTCGGATCCTGTTACGTGTCTTTCTCTCCTTCCTACAGTGACTACTGAGTAGAGTTATGTCGGAAGAAATCGAATCTGACCGTCAAGTATCACCACCGTCAGTTCAGCATTATTTCACGGACACACTGAAAAATAAAACTATCCCAAATATATAAATATTTGAAGAAGAAGATCTGTAGAATAGTTTTGTGCAATTCTTGAACAGCAATCTGTCGTAACTCAAAACACACGTCAACGTAAACGCTATTAAGGTCAACGTTAAAATGGAGTCGAAGTGGGTCGTACCCACAGCAAACGACATGATCCATTGTATCACGCGTGCGCAATCCCGCATTTGTGTTTCTACCACGAAAATGGAGTCAGCAAAGACGTTGGATGATATGCTGCTCTCAGAGGTCGATGAATCGGCCGTGACTGCTCTCGTAGGTTCGCTGGAATCTCAGTTGTCATCTTCGAGTGTTCAGAATCCTAGTCGAGATACATATACAAGCTCGATAACAAACAACGATATTAGTAGTACACATATTAATTCGAGCGCAAGGGTCCAACAACGACTACAGAATGGAGAAAAAGCTAGTAGGCCTATCGTAGCGTCGTCAAGCTCCGACATTGCTTCAGGCCTGACGTTAGCAAGTTATCAACAGACTCACAATCAACACGGTCATGAGAATGAGAGGTCAGGAAGTGACTCAAGAACTATTAGCACATCTGGTGAAGTTAACGACACAAATATAGCTCTTCATTCTTCAATCGCAACCAGAGCAATTAATTCTCTTGGTGCATCTGCTAACTCTGTAATGGTAACCCTAACTGGCGCATTAGGCCTACCAGCAAGTGGATATATTAGTCAGTTGCAGATTCCTAGGCCTAACGCGAATGTCAGACCTAGTATTAGTGTTACAACTCCGCAAGACTCAACAGGTCTTGCTGGTGGAAGAGTTAGTGTGAATGTCAGACCTGCTGGTTCAGGATCTGCTATTGCGATAAGACCTGTGTCTTCAGTGCCAGGGGCAATACGTCCCATTGCAATATCAAACAATAACATGAAAACAGTTTATTCATTACAACAAGTTGGAACAGAGTTGAATTCGGCCATTAACAATAGTACAAATGGTGTGGGTACAAGTAATGTCAGACCTACTGTTCAACCTCAAGCCAAGGCTGCTTCAGCTGTTCCAAATGGAAATATTGGTATTTCAGGAACAAATGTTGGTCTAGGTTTAAATGGAAATGTTATTGTCAGTCATTCAGGACAGCCAGTGATGCCTGTAGTTACTGGAACCACTGTTTTAGGCAATTCATCATCAAATAGCAATGTGACAGCCAGTTCTAGTAGTGCTGGAGCAATTTTTAACTTGGCAAATCTTCAAGGAAATTTAGTTTCACAACAGCCACATGTCATTCGTAGTTTAGCACATGGAACCCCAACTATTTCTCAGCAGAACACTTCAGAAACCAAACAAAATTTGACTGGTGTGAGACCTATTTTAAATGAACAAAAAGACCAAAAACAGTTGAAAGATGGTACTGTGCTAAAGCAGTTAAGTGGAACTTCTCACACACAGAACCTGACAAGTAATGTTATTCAAATGAACAACTCTCTTAGTGTGCCTGTGCAAGCTGTTTCAAAGGCGATAACATTACAATCACAGCAACCTGTTACCATTTTTAATCAAGTAGTAACCAATCCTACAGTTCTTCCTGGAGTTCATTTAGCCAGTGTGAGTGCTGCCCGCCCAAATACAGGAACTACAAGCCAAAAAGCTTTGGCACCTAGAGTAGTCTTAAGTAATCCTGTTCGCCTTGCACCATCACCTCAGGTGATTACGGCGCGACCTGGTGGACCTGGAATACAAATGGCTGGTCAGGTAATTTTACAATTAAGGCAGTTATACAAAATCTTAAAATATACTAAGGCTGTGTTCAAAGGCTTGTTTCCAATCAGGAATTTGAAAGTAGTTCTAAACAAAACTGGATGATTAGTGGTATTGGACTCATTAATCAGTTACATTCAGCTAATTGATTATTCTCACAAGATAGCCAAAAACAAACTTATTTTTACACGAGTTGACTAAAAAAATGCTTTTTTATTTGTTAATTGAGTTGAGTAACTAATAAAAATAAAACTTGCAATGCTATAACTAATAAGTCAGATTCCGATACACGTGACAGGTAGGACACAATTAGCACATTATCTGGGGAGCTTAACAACAAGTAAAGCATTTGAATAATCAAATACAGTTATAATGAGAAACCCTAATTTTGGTTAATTGGTTACCCGTGTGAGTCATAACACTAATTGATTAAGAAGAACAAAGTAAAATTAGTAAATGGTAAATTTAAAGATTAATTAGGCCATGATGTAGGTATACGTTGCCCTAATTATCTTGGAAGTTATATCTACTCACATATATCATTGTGGCAATGTCTGATTTTGTATTTTTTTTGCATCCAGTAGAATTTGAGTGAAAAAAATTAAAATTATTAATTCCAAAACAGAGTTTAAAAGTTATGTGCTTCAAACACAGTCAGTAATGGGGTTTGAGATGCTTATGAAAGAGTTCACTTTGTCTTTTAGGTGAATAGTCTTAAAAAATAATATAAAAAGAACTAAGCATATCATGGATTTAACTTTTATTGAAATAGAAAAGTTTTACAATTATTTACAGGTGTTTTTTTTTTTACTTTAAGCATACAGTTACTGATTCAGAACAAAATCTAACAGGTTCACACATCATTTTAGTAAAAAAATATTTTATACTATTTGAAATTCAACAGATTTTTAATGTAAAATAGTTCTGTGTTTTATTGTTAAGTAACAAATGCAGCTTTTGCATTGAAAATGAATGTTGTTTTAAGGAAATGATACAAAAGTTATCAGGTGGTTAGTTTGTTAAATGAATTTTAGTGCTAATATTTCCTTAATTCTTAGAGAGAATATTTATGAAGTTTATTGATTTTTAAGCCTTTTTTTTTAAATGGAAGTCTGGAATAAAAGTTTTTTTGGTTTGTACTCTGTCAGGAAATATTTTTAAAATCTTTTAAAAGATAAAATTTGTAATAGCACCTAAGCTTTGGAGTAGTTCTGTGATTGTCTCTACAGTTTGCTTCCTAACACTTGAAAAGTTAAATCATCTTCGGACGTAACAGCAGGAATTATTCTAGCACTTTGTACTGTCATATTGAATGTGTATTATTGTAAAACTAAATTATGATCTAGTAATTTTTCTCTGAAAGGTTATTTTAATTAGGTAGGTTTAGATTAATTTTTAGAATTTTTTTGATTAGGAAAGTGGAAACTTAGTGAAAAGAACAATAATTGTATTGAAGAGCAAGATTGCATCTAAACTTCTAAAAGCCAAACATTATTTAAATCAACATTTTACATTCACATATTTAAATGGACAACTCACAGGAAGACTGTTCAAAATCCTTACATTTTTGAACACCTGAATCAAATTTCATCCAATCTTAAAATCTAAACTACTCGTCGTAACGTTAGAAGCTTGATTTCCCAACATATTGATAAACTTACTGTAGGTGTTGAGAACCAATACTGCATACATTATTTCAGAAGAAGCCTCGACAGAATTTTGTACAAGGTTATAATGACTTGTGTTAGATTCATAACTCGTATGAAAATGACCAGTGCTTTTTTTTTTTGCTTTAGCTTAATGTTAAACAAAGGGTTTTAAGTTTCTTCAACAATCACATTTAATATCGAGGATGCTGTGTGTTTTTTCATAAGATTAAAGAGATGTGACCAAGTGGTGATAATTTATTTCAATATACAGGTACAATGAGAGATACAGATTTTAACACAAGAATTGCTCTAAATTTTAAAATGTGTAATTTTTGTAAAACCTACATAATTTAACAAAAGAAGCTATCCTTAGTTGATAAAAATCACATTGTTGCTAAGATGCTAGTTTGTTATTGTTTGTACATGTCAATGACTGACAGGACATGTAGTGGAACAAAGGTGATATAATCAGGTGTATCATCCCTTCGGACAGTGTTTGACAAGATAGTTATCCTTATAATATGAATAGAAACACAGATGGCTACTGATATTGGAAATACATACATGTATATATATATGTGTGTGTATTTTTTCCTACTGGTTGGGATTGTTTTATGATATTTTTTTTACTGTAATAATAATAATGAGGTTTACACAGTTTGCTATATTTATACATTTTATTTTTATTAAAAATACCTATTGTGTTTTTTAATGCATTTCCCATGAATTCAAAGCATATGAACTTGAATAATGACCTCCTTTTTCCTTTTTTTAATGCAAAGTGTTATATCTTACAAATATTCTTGGCTTGCTGTCACCTCCACATCTTGTTTTATACACAGTTATATGCTCTTATATCCTGCCATAATGTACGTATTTTTTATCTGGGGTTAGTTGCAAAATCGAGGGATAAAAAACAAGATTAATAAATGGTTCAGAGATTGATGATACACAGAGTTACAACATTTGAAATGTTAATGAAAAAACATAAGTTTGAAGCACCATTGTTCTCATGGAATATTATACAAATCTGTATATTAAATATTGAAATGGGGTAGGAAGTAGAAATAGAAGCAGCTATCAGAACTTTGAGGCTTGGTATATGTAAATCATATCTTGTAGAATATATTTATAGTGTGCACATAAGATGGAAGAAGGGTGATATATTTTCATTAACAAGAATATGTGAATTTTATATCTAGGTTAATCTTGGACTTTGAACTCCATGAGACGTATTGTTCACAGTAGTGGATAAAATATAAAAACACCTGCAGCATTAGAAATCTACAGTATACTATTTAAAGTTAAATATTTGCAGTAGAAACTAGTGCTTGAATCCATTTTTCAAACTGTGGTAAACTATCTTAATTTAAATGTATGCATTTTTTTTTCTATACCATCGAGGGTAAGATATAGTGAATGATATTTGTGACTATATTCTTGGCTACGTAATAAATCCTTACAGATTTTGTCTTGTTTTTATGCTGACATCTGACTAATATTAAATTTTCTGTGGAAAAGGGAAAAAATGTGTACAAACATGGTTTTAACTGCAGCTTGAGAAATGGGGATCACACATAGTTTCTATCACATTTTTGCCTCCATTTACGTGGGAGGATCTCACATAAATTTGTTGTACACTCTTATACCTTGTACTTGTAAAAATGGACTTAATGAACCAGCTGAATAGTGATTAAGCATGTATGAAGCCATTATTAATCTTGCAGGAATCCTAGTGGTTGCCTTGGTTTAGATTGAGGTGGAACAAAAGAGTAACAGCTAAAAGCAGTGAAATGAAGATACGTAAATGAGTAGATAGGAGTAGAAAGTAATGTGATATCTCTAACAAGATTCAGTCTGATGATTTAACTTATTATAATTCTAACCCAAATCTAGGTAAACTGAAGTTTGCAATGAGTTAACATCTGATTTTTTATTGACAGGCTAAGTTATATTTAGAATTTTGAAAAATAGATAAAATGTATAAATTTATTAAATTTCATTCTGTTGTTTTGTGATGGAAATGTTTTCACCTATACAGAGCAGTAGTAAACTGTAAGTAAACAAAACACTTTTAATTGTGGGACAATACAGATAATTTTATTTTTTGCAAGTGTCTTTTTGTTTCTTAAAATTTGGGAGTCCCTTTATCTGAAGGAGTATGGGTAGAGACTCCTCTCCCACACAGAATGAACTTGATGTCTTGGTGTAATCAGATATTCATTAAAGTTACTTTCGATATCAATTTAACATCATTCTGTTACAGAAGTTCTCTTAATGTCAATGCTATACTGTACTTTATTTCCAGACTGTCATTTTTCATCAGCTATAAAACAACAGTCTGTGTGCACATTGACATAGTTTATAGTCTTCAAACAAATAGACAAAAAGTAAATCTGATTAATGATGGAATGAGAAAATGTAAACTGTTCTGCAGTTTTTGAAGGAATATTATCTCATTAGAAGCTAATTGCATTCCCTGCTTTGTGGAAGTAATAGTTGATTCATTTAACTGATTAAGTACATTTGTCCTGAAATTCAAAACCAAAAGTTTATAAACAAAGTGGAAATGTGCCCTATTTCAGGGTTTTATTTATCCATCTTCCCGCACATAAATGTTAAAACAAAAATAGCCCATGTACACTGTCAAACAGTTTCCAATTACTGTATTAAAAATTACGGTAATTGAGCTAGCCAACTATGGGTGATGGAAACAAAAAGTCTATAAAAGAGAGGAAATATGCCTTCTTTCAGGGGCTTTTTTATCCTCTTCTTCAGCAAAAATTTGAAAAAAGACGCTCACGTATACCATCAGAAAGTTTGTAGTTACTACTGTTGTTTTAGTAGTTTTATACATAAATGTATAGTAGAAACACTAGCATAGCATTGTTTTATAAAGAAAGGGAATACAGAAACACTAGTGTAATATTGTTTTAGTAGTTTTATAAAGAAATGGATAACAAACACTAGTGTAACATTGTTTTAGTAATTTTATAAAGAAATGGATAACAGAAACACTAGTGTAACATTGTTTTAGTAGTTTTATAAAGAAACGGATAACAGAAACACTAGTGTAACATTGTTTTAGTAGTTTTATAAAGAAACGGATAACAGAAATACTA